ATTTTGGGCACAAAATTTACAAACTCAAGATTATAAAGCTGATGATATAGGGTCTGAAACTGCTAATGCAGGTTCTACATCCTATATTTGACATGTGTATAAGTTTTGGAGGAATAAATACTAATGCATCACATTTTATGCACACTAATGTGAGATGTGTGTGTTTTTCCCCACGTTTTGGCAATGGCTCATATAGGCCTTAGATAGTCCTGGAACGTTGCCCCAACTACAATTGAAGTATCTGAATATTCAGACGACTAGGCTAAAAATTTATAGCTCTAGAAATTGAATTCGATGAAAAAAATTGCTTCTTCCCTGTCCTCGCAGAATGGCAGAATGAAAGATGACGCTGAACTCTCGGAAATCACCAGCAAAACTCGAGAACGGAAACCATTCGGAGAAATAGAGTTCAAAGTTGATTATCCCGAGCGTTCAAAGAAACAGTCACTTCGTTTTTAAGTAAATGCCCAGACTAATGGCTGTAGACTAGATCTACTGTGTAACTGAACTTTTAAGCGGATAGCTAGTCTAGAGAATGACAACGAAACGCTATTGGCCAATATCTATAGTACATAACATCCATCTTGTTTGACCTCGCAAGGGGGATGCCCGCCGCGTCATCTGATAGTGATTCTCTAGATCTAGGCCTCTCTATCTAGTGATGATTTTGCGTAGCGCACGGTTTGGACTGGCAGTTTTCAAGCTTCCCTCTTTGAGTAGTTTGAGTCTTTCCTTGTGGTTCCCTGTATTCCTAGTATACTGCTATTGCACCTCACAGTATCCATTTGCAAATCTTGCAATCTCTTGTAAACAAGTGCTTAATTTCTTGTGCTTACAAAACTAAAAGAAACAGTTCAGTCCGGTGGATTATTTGCACTGCATCGTTGAACTTTGTTTGAACTTGCTTTTATAAATAAATAGTACATGGATCTAGGCCTACTCTTAGTCTTTTTCTTCTTTCTCAGTTTACGTAGTGTACAGCTCAGAATCAATCTCTGGGCAGAAGAAGGGTGCTATATAATCAATTCAATCTCAGACGGCCACCTTTATTCTCACCCCGGGTGAGAATATAACCCATGTCTCGTTACACTATTCTCTTCTCACCCTCTCACCCAGGGTGAGAATAACTCATGACTTTCTACTATTCTAATCCCCCCCCCCACCCTGATGTGGGCATGAGGCGAGGACTCCCCCCTGACCTCTCGCAGGCCGATAAAATCACCTAGGCCCTTGGTGGCTTACCGCATGTGGTTGGAAACGAATAATAATAAGGCACTATTTCTCCGAACATTCGGGAAAATAAAGCTGGGCATTATTTCTCCGAACACTCTGAAATCACATCCTTTCCCACAAATTTAAGATATTTTAAAGATCAATTATTTTATAGTATAGGCCTACCTAAGATTGTTCGTATACAATATGGTTCAATCGGTCCAAAAAATGTCCGCAGTAAATATTTTTATATAAAAAGAAAGAAATGCTACAACTCCAAACAGTTTTTTGCTACAGATATGATGTGTTGCCTATGAAGGGTGCTGCTCTTAAACGTAATGTGTTGTGTTCACTCGTGTGCTGTCTAGATCTAGAATAGATCTACGGAGGGTTATTGATAACGACACATAGAACTGGCATCTGCGTTTGTCACTGCTGCGACCAATGTACTGACACTGGCAAGCCCCTTAATGTGTGTGATTCCACAATTTACATGTAATATCCTGTACTTAAAAAAAATAAATTACGCACATTTAGGGTTAAAACAGCCAATCTTCTTCGGACAGGTGGACACACGCCCTTATTTGTTAATGTTTGTTGTGGTTTGTGGGCTTTTCTAATTTTGATTTCTTTCTGTTGTGAAACCTTTCTTTTTCACGTTTTTACACTCATCTAAAAATCTCTAGACTAGCTCTTGAAAATTGAAATAGATATAGACCCAAAAATTTGCTCCTGTGTGTGTGTGTGTGTGTGTGTGTGTGTGTGTGTGTGTGTGTGTGTGTGTATGTATGTATGTATGTGCGTGTATGAGTGTGTCTGTGTGTGGTTGTAAGTGGAGAGTGAGGAGTGTGTATGTGTGGTTGTTTTTCAGGCTTTATTTCAGCCTTTATTCAGTAACAGTTCAAAGTATACAAAAATAGAAACACAGGATCCATTCACTCCATGGTTCATGAGTCGTTCGTCTCTTTCAGTTTCACTCATTCATTTAATTCCCCTGTTCTCTCCCGCGGCTCATCCCCGTCTGCATGACTTTCATACCCCACCCCCTCCCTCCAGGCACACACAAAGAAAATCTCACTCATGATTCCCTTGCACCCTGCGAACCATGGACAACAATATAATAGGCAAAACACTGCCTGAGCTGCATTCCTTTCGTTCGTGAGCTGTGGACCAGGCCAGGGGGGTCGGTGTCGTCGTCTTGTAGTTGCTGTCGCCTGTGGATACACTCGCACTTTCTTCCTTTCACCCGCTCTTTCACTCACACTGTCTCTCCATCCACAGCTCAGCTCGTCATACGTTCAAAAGTTGCCCACTGGTCATGTTTAGTTAGTGTGTGTACATGTGCATGATGGTGGTGGGTGTTACTGAAGGTTGTCTGTGGGCGGGCTTGCCATGCGCTGTTCCTTCCCAGACCAGAGGCAGAATGAAAGTTGGCGCCGAACTCTCGCAATAAATAAATAGGCCAAAATTCACGAGACCGGAAGCCGGAAACCGTTCGGAGAAATAGTCACTTCGTAATAATAATGTAAAAACATTTTTCGCCTCTCCAGTAAAAAAAAAGCCTCACTAGCGACACTACTGAGCAGGATGTGGGACCGGCCGGACCATTCATATTTTACACACTTTACGATGGCAGGCCTCTCACTCTCTGCATGCACACAATAAATTATGGTTCAAGGAACAGAAAGAAATGGTACAAACGTAACGAGACAATAAATGCTCTTGCTTGACAGTAGAAGGGTTGTAAATTATTCAGACCAAATGGGCGAGGGCGTTAAATCGTGTTAACTAGTTTAATAATAAAGCAATCCAAGCTCTTTTCTTCACTTTCATTTTTTTAACTTTTATTCTTTCTTTTTCTTTTTTTCTTGCCTCTTCTTTCCTTTTCTTCTTGAACATTTGGAATTTGCACCCAAAAAAGAGGGAGAGAGCCATTTTTGAAATTCTCCGGGCCAGAGACGGAAGAGCCAAATTTTTGGGATTTGTCTCCACACTGACAACTATGACTGTGACTATTCGGATACGATCAGTGACCAACATGATGCTGTGGAGCATCAGCCCTGACCCCCCCCCCAGGGTCATGCTCGCTAACCTCAGCCCTGATCCCTCTTTGGTCATTTCCGGTAAAACGAGGGGGTGGGAATTGCGAGACATGGGTTATTCTCACCCGGACCACTTCCATCACAGACAACCGAACCAAACAGTTCTGAAAGCTGCAAGAAAGAAAATAATCTGAGTCGGCAGGCTGCGGTCGTGCTGTCACCATGACTGACAAAGTGGGAGGGAATCTCTCAATGACGTCTAACAAGATGACTGTTACTATAAATATCGGCCAATGGCGTTTAGTTGTCATTCTCTAGCTATCCGCTTGTACTGAACTTACTAGGCCTACAGCCTACTGTTACTGAAGTAAGAGGTAGAAACACTGACTTGACTTGACTAGAATCTAGATATGTAGAATCTAGGACAAGGAGGACTAGACTCAAGATCTAGATCTGCTGATGAGTGAGGAGTCCAGATTAAATTAACCAACTTATTCTTTGTGAAGAAGTACTGTAGTAGACCAGTTCCATAAAAGGCTCTTTCTAAAAAGTATGCCTTCAGATACGATAAATGTAACACTGGACAGTTGCTGCTAACTCAACTAACTGAATTTTGGTTTTGTCTGAAATACAAATACTTTAAAGGCATTGCAAACTAAAATTGTGTCACGACTCGATGGAATCAGGCGCTTGTCAATTTTTGGCATGTGGAGATATTGGTATCACCTGAATGCTGATTTATTTGCCTTGTTTTCAATGAAATAACAATCTATCTTGAATAGAACTCAAGATATTTGCAATTGTACGAAGTGAAGTCACCTGGTTCCAGTGGTAAAATTAGTGAGAAAATGGCTGCCAAAGTTTGGGAACTCCAATTAGCTATAAAGGGTTCTTGAAAACAGAAAAATGATAAATATTTTGTGCCTTTAATCAACGTCTTTCAGTAAAATTCACACGGAAATGTGTTTATACGGACATACAAGATCAAGAGGTAAAGCTCAAAACTAAAAATTCTGAAAAAAATGTCCAAACTTTCGGAAAAATGCCTTTTTCTCCAATTTTTGTATTTTGACGAGCGCCTGATTTCAACACTTTAAGTATTGCAAACTAAAAATATATATTTACAGTTATTCAGTAGACCTATTTTTTGCTGTATCAGTCTAGCCATCATTATTAAGTACGGCAAGCCGGGCCGTCTAGCCGTTATTAAGTACGGCTAGCCTCTTCCCGAAAAAACAAAAGAGAAGAGATCCATGCACACGCTGAAGGCCACCAGTGTCAGTGGAAGGACTTCCGTAACGAGCGACCACCCCAACAAACATATATAATGTAGAAGAGACCTAGATCTACCCCTAACCCTGGCTCAACACCTTACCCCTACCCCTATCTCAAACCCTAACTCTACCCCAAACCCTATCCTTCTACTTTGTTGTTTAATAGTGGTCACTCGTTACGGAATTCTTCCCATGTCAGAGCTCACAGTTTTTGAGTCTTCCCCAAAAATTGTCATATAATTTATAAATAAAGGTTGCTATAATTAATATATAATATTATATATAAATAGCTAGTCTGCTAGTTTACCTTCTCTGTCAGACTGCATTTAAAACAAGGTCAAATGAAAGCGCTCAGTTTAATCTTCTCAGATCTTTACAGGTCTGGAAGTTGGATAACCAACAGACTCTAGAGGTCTCTGCTAACATGAAAAAATTGACATTTACCGCAATATTGCAATACCATACACTTTAATGGATGCCAAAGAACCTAAGAAACACTATTCAATAGATGGGGTGAGTATTTTTTAGACTCTCACGGAGACGTCTTTCAGAAGAATATAGAAAAAATTCTGTGTACACAAGCTTAGGTGTGGGTGGTTGGCGGGTGCCCTGGTGTGGTTTGCTTCTTCTTTCCTATCAAACATCTATCGTCCTTATCTCCCCTTCTTCTTTTTTATGTTTGTTACTCTCTTGTAACAGTTCTAATCTTCTGGCGCTCATATGACCTTACGCAGTTGCGAGCGCCATAAAACCTCTACTAAAACTAAAACTAAACAAGCTTAGGTTGCTGTTAGGCGGAGGCTGCTTGTGCTGTTAAGTGGACACCAATGTAGTGTATAGTGCTTTCCTGACATAGCATAGTGTGGCAACAGTAACTTACAAGAGTTTTCTTGCCAACTTTTCTGGGTGTATTCCAGTTACCAATTGATCAGACGCTCAATCTTCCAGATCCTAAGATCAGCATGCTCATTCACATTCAGACAATTTTCAGTTTTGGCCCCTTTCTAAAGAGTGTTTGATTATCAATGTAATTTGAACTACAGGTTAGAATGGTTGTAAATTATGGGGCAGGAGTAGGACACTATGTACAGAAAAAACATTATCTTTGGGGACAATGCTGGCCCCATGTGGATGTTTGCAATGCTGGATTTGGGTTATTAATTAAGAGTAAAAGTGTTGTCGAGTAGGGTTTAGGGTTAGGGGTCATTCCTCCACATTTGCACGTTTTATTTGCATTTTGCTGGATCCAAGATATAGGTAAGGGTTAGGATTAGGTCTTACGGTAACCCTTACGTCAACCCTCATCAAAATCCTTATTTTATGACCCGGATCAAGCTATGTGAGTAAAATGTGCTATCTGATTACCACCAACAGTTGGGGTCTGCTAGATCAAGCTAAGTTAAAAAAGGTTGCTTTAATTCTATTCAAAATTAGACGATATTTACTTTGGAAAATCAAAATATAATAAGAAATCTAATTTAATATTATATGTGAGGCAGCGTGGTGGAATCAGGCTCTCGTCAATTTTTGGGCATGTAGAGTTATTGGTATCATCTTAAAGCTTGTTCACTTGTCTTTATTTGGATGAAAAAAGTATCCATTTATCTTGAATACAAGTCGAGATATTTGCAAAAGAAGGAGGTGTTGGTCACCTGTTTTCAGAGGTAAAATTAGTGAGAAAATGGCCGCCAAAGATTAGTTATTTCCTTAGCTTAAGAGTCCGTGGTAACTGAAAATTTACATTTTTTGGGGCCTTTAATCAACGTTTTTTCAGAAAAATCCACCCAAAAATGAGTTCTTTAATGGGCATGAAAGGTGTTGAGCCAAAAAACAAAAATTTGATAAAAGTTCCCAAACCTGTGAAAAAATGCAAGTTTCTTCACTTTGATTATGTTGACGAGAGCCTGATTCCACCACGCTGTCTCACATATTTACTTTGGAAAATCAAAATATATTAAGCAATCTAATTTAATATATAAACAAACTCCTTGAACAAATTCCCAAGCCATTCCAACCCTGCTGGCTTGCCGTGGTATAGGCCTAATATAAAAGATGATGTGGACCAAATTTTGACAGACTCCACTGAGAAATTATAAGGAGATGGGAAAGAAACTGTAAAGAAGGAATCATTTAACTTAAACACCTGAATCCCATTAAGTTTTATCATTATTGTCAGATTTATGGTCCTTACATCATGTAAAGGATTTCAGTAGGATAATCCTAAATAACTCTCTACCCCTCTTCCCAATTCAATTTTGCGAAAGAAAAACTTAAAACAACATACCCAGTCACATAGAAAACTTGGTTTGGTCCTGACTGGTAAAGTTGAAGTAGCCTGTCTGTAGTTGTAAGATCCTAGTTGTGTTGATGAGGCATAAAACATGTATGATTTTTTTCTCCCCTCCCCCCAGGTAATAAGAGTGGCGCCCTGAAGTGTGTGTACCTGCCGGAGAGGGACAAGACCCTGTTCTGTGATGGTTGCTGTTTGGGTATCCGCGGTGATCTGCAGGGAATACTGTTGCTGGACACAGCCTTACAGACTCCGGCACACAAAACTGAAGATGTTGTCAAGATTGAGTTGCCTCTAGTGGAGGTTAGAGACATCAGTCATCAGTGCATTGTTTTTTTTAAACCAAAAGCCAAAAACATTTGAACTGCTTTTGTTTAAAAAAAAAAATTAAATCGTATAATAGCTTTTTATACTTTTTTTAAAAAGACTGCTCTTTCTGTTTTTTTCCCAAATAGTTTTTTCTGATTTTTAAAATGTATATATTTTTTTTGCTTTTTGAAAAAAAAAGCTTTTCAGCTGAAGAAGAAATGATGTTGTTTACCCCTGAGGACATAGTTTTCTGTGTGAAAGAAGAAATTATGTCATTTATGTCCGAGGAAGTGGTAGGCCTATTCAGTTTGTGTAATTCGACAGTACAGTAGATGGAGTGGAGAGTGGCTGAAGGGTGACACTGGTAGATCCTACTTCTTTTTCTACTACTGTTGTTTCTGTCTTACTTTTGGCCTGCTCTGAATGCCAGAACAGTTATTGTGTATATCCCCAAGCAAGCAAAGAAGCACAACAATGTGGACCATTTCAAATATGTTGGTCTTGATTTTTGTGTGTTTTTTTTGCCTACAGGCGACGCAGCTGCTGAAAACGTTACTAGCCACAGATCTTTCCAGCAAGGAGTATGTGGATGACTTTGCCCGGGACCTGTCTCAGGGCATTCAGAGAGCTCAGGATGCGACCCAGGGAAACCACAAAACTGCCAAGGTTTGCCTCACATCTTGTGTGTGTGTGTGCACGTGAGTGTGAGCATGTGCGTGAGTGTGAGCATGTGCGTGAACGTGTGCGTGAGTGTGAGCGTGTGCGTGAGTGTGAGTGTGTGCTTGTGGGTGAGTGTGAGCATATGCGTGAGTGTGAGCATGTCCGTGAGTGTCAGCATGTGTTTGCCTGTGTGTATTTGCATGTTATACGTATGAGTGGTTGGACGATGCCTCTAGCAGGTCCTACTTTTATTTCCTTTTTTTGTTTAATTTTTCCCTCTATAAAATGGTGGGTATTGTGTTTGCTTGCTTCTCTTTACTCAAGTAAATAAACATGATGCTAGAATTATGTGTTATCTCTCTCTCTCTCTCTCTCTCTCTCTCTCTCTCTCTCTCTCTCTCTCTTTCTCTCTCTGTGTCAGTGGGCGACGGTGTGCCTACAGATGCAGCACATGGTCCTCAAGTCTGTGTGCTCGGCCCTGATGAAGACAGACAGACAGACAGACAGACAAATTAATGTGTTTCTCTCTCTCTCTGTGTCAATGGGCGACGGTGTGCCTACAGATGCAGCACATGGTCTTCAAGTCTGTGTGCTCGGCCCTGATGAAGACAAACAGACAGACAGACAAATTAATGTGTTTCTCTCTCTCTCTCTGTGTCAGTGGGCGACGGTGTGCCTACAAATGCAGCACATGGTCCTCAAGTCTGTGTGCTCGGCCCTGATGGAGGAGCTGACCAAGACCAACCAGACGGGCCAGGGCTTCCCTGTGGCCTCGGCTGTGGTGGACAGGCTGGGCTTCCTCCTGCCCCGCAGCCGGCTCGACATCACCAAGGAGCCGGTCAACCGGGCGCTCATGTACAGCGAGGCCGCCCGACGGGAGACCTTTGCCAACTGGCCACACATGAACTACAAGTAAGATTCACTCTTGTAATTTGTAGATGTATTCCTTGTTTTGCTGCAGTACGTATTAATTGAAAATAAGCATACGTTAATGTGTCTCAACTCAAACAAATCTAATTAACATTAGTACCCTGCCTAAATTGTTATTTTTAAAAAACTGCTTTTTTCTTAGATAGCTTCAAGCATAGGGGTAAAGAATATTTTAGTTTTCAACTTTTTTTTCAGAACTAATACTTCTATTACATTTTCAAGATCAATGTTTTGATAGTGGAGTAGGGGGGGGGGGGGGGGGAACTAACAAAAGTTGCTATGTGTTTGAATGAGTGTGAGCTTGGAAGCTTAATCTGGGAGTGTCTGTAACTGTACGTTTCCCCACAGGGTTCTGCTAAACTCTACTAGGCTTTTCCTTCCTCGTGGGTGGTTGGTGGGCGCCACTGGGAGGTCTTACTTCTTTGTTGTCCCTGTTTTGTCTGTCTGTCTGTCTTGCTTTTATTCAGCTTTCAGTAGTCTTTTGTGGGTGGTTGCTGGATGCTCTGGTGTGGTTTGCTTCTTTCCTTTCAAATATCTATCATGGTTATCTCGCCTTCTTTTTTGTGTTAGTTACTCTCTTGTAACACCTCTAAACTTGTGCACTTTTATACGACCTAATGTGTTACAAGTGCTGAAAAACTCTTATTAAAACATAAATAACCTCTGTTATTGTGCTGCCTCAGCATTACAAAGTTCTGTCTGACCCCCTGGGGCAGTGCCACTGACTGTAGTGTCCCCTGGGGCAGTGCCACTGACTGTAGTGTCCCCCCGGGGCAGTGCCACTGACTGTAGTGTCCCCCCGGGGCAGTGCCACTGACTGTAGTGACCCCCTGGGGCAGTGCCACTGACTGTAGTGTACCCCCTGGGGCAGTGCCACTGACTGTAGTGACCCCCCGGGACAGTGCCACTGACTGTAGTGTCTTTAGGCCATTCCCAAAGGGGGGACATTTCTTGTTCAAGCATAGTAGAATTGTAAATGGGCTGATTCATGTCACGCTCATAACTGTGCCTGATCTACAACAGGGAACTGCTGCTTTTTCTTTCCTAATCCTTACTGTTGTCATTTTCCTCTACTTCTTTTGTATGTTTGTCACTCTCTTGTGACCTTCTATTTCCGGGGTGCCTTGATAGTCGAAGCAGACCTTGTGCTGTTGAAGCTAGAGAGGTGAGCAGAGTAAGTCTGATTCCCTGTAAGGACTTCTCTGTTGACACCCACCCCTGGCGCTCATATGACCGTATGCAGTTGCGAGCGCCGTAAAACCCTCTACTATATTAAAAAAAAAAAAAAGTTCTGTCTGCTCTGTACTTAGTTTTGAGAAACTTGATAGAAACAATGTGGAGTTTTATGCCATGTCAAGGTTTTTCAAATTCAATGCATTGATTATCTTGATAACGACTCCGATCAATCCTACGATTTTGATAAGGCTGATAGCACATTTGGTTTTTGTTCTCATGGTCTTACCAACTCAAAAAGGCCAAAAATGTCAGATAGAACCTTTTAATTCTGAGGTAGCAATTACGTCTGTGTATGTGTATGTATTTGTCTGTTTGTGTGTATGCATGTTTGTATGTTTATGCATATGTGTGGGTGCGCTCAAATGTGTACAAGTGTGTGTCTGTGTCTGCATGTATTGGTGTGTATCAGTATGTGTTTGAGTGTTTGTATTGAAATCTTAGCCAGAAACGTCCCAGTTGAGGCATTGTATGTACTGCATATATGTATCCCTCCTTCTTGTGCCTTCTTCAGCTTAGTTCAGTCCTGAGAATTGTTACTTCCTATCTCCCTCTTTCTGCCTGTATGTTGCATCCCTCTCGGCCTCAGTGGGCCCTAACAGGCAGCCAGGAAGCAGCTGGCCTCCTATATAATCTAAATGGTGGTGATGGGGGCTTGAAACATCAATTCCTACATTTTCCATGTGGTGTTCCTCCACAGATGGGCCTTGCCGGAGCCCATGGCCCAGGCTGGCTTCTTCCACCACCCCAACATCCCCGGGGACGGCGAGGACCGGGCCATGTGCTTCACCTGTAATGTCTGCCTGGTCTGCTGGGAGCCCACAGATGAGCCTTGGTAAGGACAGCCCCCCCGGGTCACTCTCATGAAATGGAAGACGAATGTTACATTACTTTCTATTGCTTGAGCGTTGCATATATCAAAGGGAAGTGTTTATTTACCCCCCCCCCCCGCGTCTTACTCTACCCAGTGGTAAAAATGTACAATGTTTAACCTGTGATAAAAGATATTTTATAGCTGGTGGTAAAATATTTCTGAAGCAGGAACTTTCTTACCATAGCTGGTTTGTTCAACTTATCTGATTACACCCCCTGCCCCCCAACCACCCCCTTGCCACAACTCCACAGGTCCGAGCACGAGCGTCACTCCCAGCTGTGCCCGTACATCAAGGGAGAGTACACCCAGAACGTGCCCCTGACGGTCACCTACGCCACTCAGCCCGCTCACTTCCACGGCCACTCCCCGCAGCAGGTCAGAAACAAGGCAGTGGGAAAAGGAAACATTATTATGATTATTTTTGTGTGGCAGCTCGGTAAAATGGGCTGCATGTAGCGCTCAGCTGGGCGGTTACGAGATATCTGGCAAAACCTAGATTTTCTCTAGACTGTGTACAACTTTGAGTGGTTCTAACTTTTACACCAAAGCAGCTAGACTTGTACTGTTTTCTGAGTCCACAACTTTGAGTGGTTCTAACTTTTACACCAAAGCAGCTAGACTTGTACTGTTTTCTGAGTCCACAACTTTGAGTGGTTCTAACTTTTACACCAAAGCAGCTAGACTTGTACTGTTTTCACCCACTTGCAGAGCTTGAATAGATCTTTCGTTCTGACCCCCATAGTGTACTGTTTTCTGAGTCCACAACTTTGAGTGGTTCTAACTTTTACACCAAAGCAGCTAGACTTGTACTGTTTTCTGAGTCCACAACTTTGAGTGGTTCTAACTTTTACACCAAAGCAGCTAGACTTGTACTGTTTTCACCCACTTGCAGAGCTTGAATAGATCTTTTGTTCTGACCCCCATAGTGTAATATTGTCGTGTTGCTTACTATATTGATGGTGTTGTGCACAGAGCTCGCTTAGTATATTGATGGTGTTGTGCACAGAACTCCATCGTTTGGTTTTACCTAATTTTTTCACTATTTGCTATGTAAGGATTAACTACATCATCTCAATCTCCCACTGTCGGTTTTGTCTCTCTTGTCGTGCAGTGTCCCTGTCTAAAAATGGCCTTTTTGTTTGGTGTATTTTTCTTTACTCAAATAAATAAACTCTTTTCTTGTCCCCCGTAGAAGATCGCCTGCATCAGCACCACCTTTAACGAGGATTTTGTAGCGACTTCCACTCGAGATGGCAACCTGGTTGTGTGGGACGTCAGCCATATTCTCAAGGTATGGAAGTGTTGTCAGGGGATAGTTGTCAGTATCAGTAATTCACTGGTTTTGACTTTAGGGATCATCTGTGGGAGAAACATGTTTCAATGCACGTGGAACAAAGTTATTTTAGTTATTTATTTGTCATTATGTGTTCAGTGGTTATCTTCATAGAACTTGACAGTACATGAAATGTCACAGGCACTCATGTGGCAAATTTTATCAAATTTTATTTTTTTGAGTGGGGGGGATCAACACATTTTATGTCCGTTTAAAAATACATTTCTGTGTTTTGTGTTTGTTTCAATGAAAAATGTTGCTCAAATGCACCAAAAAAGGAAAATTTGCAGTTGACACGGACACCCAAAGGTTGGAAGTCACCAAACTTTGGGGGCCTTTTACTCATTTGTTTTACCCCTGACAGCTGGCGACCCCCACTTCCTTCAATCCTGAATGTCTTGACTGCTATAAATGGGTGGGTTTTTTTCACCAAAAGCAAGGCAGGTGAACAAGTCTCAAGATTTTACTAATAACTCTATGTGCCTAAAAGTTGACAAGCAGCACCGATTCCACCATGTTGTAAGATATATGTCGTTGGTACATATTATTACATGGTTCTAGTAACACTGGCTGCCCTTCATCCACATTCTTGGAATGTGGAGATTGAGCTGAGCGAGAGAATGGGAAGATATTCTGTAGATGGGTCAGGTGTTTCTTTGTGTTTCAAGGTTCTGGTCGGCTTCTCCCACTAGAACTTCAACTTAGTCACAGTGTTGTAAAAGGTTTATTAAGATTTGGAATGGTACATGGAACTCTGTGAAATTATAGACTTAATTCTTATTTTAGACAGATTTTCAATGGTTTTATTTCTAGACGCCAGGGTCTTGTCTGGCAGAGCTCTGAATTATGGCTCATAAAAATGTATTATTTGTATTTTTCAACATCTAAGTTTCATACGCTCAGTATAGCACAAATGGTTCTGGTACCCTAATTTAGCAGCTGTATTTTGTGTGTATTGAAAATAAGGAAATCTTCTACTGGTTCAAGTTATGTGTTACTAAGCAAGTGCATTACTCATGTTTGGATCTAAGTGAGCACTCATTTTCTCTTATCATTGAATGACAAAGAATAGCTGTACTCTAAAATATTTTCCGATATATTCTTTCCTTTTGATGTGAAAATGTGGGGGGTTGCTGGAAGCTACAGGTTGGTTCTAGCTCTACTTCTTTTCTTTCCCTCTGTTGTTTTTTTCTGTCTTTCTTTATAGGGAGTGGGGTGTGGAGGTACTCTGGTGCATTTTGCTACTTTTCTGCTATCAAACATCTGTCGTGCTTATCTGTCCTTTTTTTTTGGTGGTATATTTCTCTCTAGTAACACCTTTACTTTAACCTGCGGCGCATGTATGACCTAATTGTGTTCTTAGTGCCGTAAAACCATAAAACTCTTTAACTTAATACTATCTTGCTTACTTTTTTTTTTCCTGTGCTAAATGAGTTATAGCGTTGATTTGCTTCTCCTTACTCAGGATCAACTGAACTAAATTGACATCGAGTCCGAAACTGAATATGTTTCATTCTTTTTTCTTTCGAATACCAGAAACATTGCCAGTTTGACATTGATCTCAACAATGCTCTAGTTGCGATGAAAACTGGCTTGCAGATTGAACGCTCGGGGGCGCATGGGAAAAGATCATTTGACAGGTGAGAATTGATGTGTTGTAAAGATGTTAATGTGTTTGATGGTGGGTCACGTCTTTTGAGGTTACTTGACAAAAGTAACGCAGTAGTTGTGGACCAGTACCAAACAATAGCTGTGGGCGGTTGGAGAGAGATTTTTAGGGGTGTTTTGAACAGTTTCAGACTCTGCACTGGAGTCCGTGGTGTAGAGGTTTGGTCCTTGGCTGCTGCACATACAAGATGTGTGTTCGAATCTGGCGTGGGAAAGTTTCTCATGGAGTATCTTGGTGATCTGCTGGAATGTTGTATGCTTCCCAGCCCGGGTTGACCCTGACAGGCGGGGTTGTAGCAACCTGCCACCTTCCAAATTGTAGTTGGGGTGAGGGGGTGAGGGGGGCACGTAAAACGCTTCGGTAAATGGCTTCAGATGCCACAAGTTGATGTAGCATAATGAGCCAGAAGTTTTCCATATATAATACATGATATATATCGTTGGTGCTGCAAGCGATCCACTTATGTCCGTTTGGGTATTTTTTAAGTCCGAGACCAAAAAATAGTCTTTGTTGTGTTGTTCCTATCGGGAATAATGAAATGCAAGAAAATTGTAAGCAGTGACGACCATAGCATTAAACTGCATCTTGGTGATATTGAAAGGTGCATCTTTGAAAAGCTTTGAGAGGGCGTAAAAATATAAAATTCACATAATTTGGACTGAGTTTGATTGCTTGCGACAGTGCCGCTATATAGGTAAATCATTATCTGACATGTATTCTGTGAGTATATCCTGTTCCCTAGCGCCCATTAGTTTGGAATGAACTGTGAAGTATCAAAGAGAGGTGATCATCTTGCCGACAAGCGTCATCCTTCCTGTGTGTATGTCATTCATTGGGGACTGGCTTCTGTGGTGTAGTGGTTAAACACTTCACTGGTGTACGCAGAAGACACCTGTTTGATTCCTGAGAGGGGAGACATTCTTATTGTCTTTCTGCTGGGATATTGTATCCCTTTCAACCCAGATTGGCTCTGACTATCAGGGTCTGAAGATCGCCTCCTAAAACGCATAAATAAAACACAATTCCGTTTTTTGCTGTTGTCTATTTAGGAAAAAGAATGATGGTCCAGAAGCGGCCTGTGATGGACACCCGCTGGAGATTGCCCTCCACGACCACAAACAGGGAAATGGTAAGGAGTCTTGCTCAGTTGAACGGTCAAGGGGATAGGGTCTGATCAAGGGGATAGGGTCTGATCAAGGGGTCATCATGTCTATTGGGGTTGGATCAATGGGTCAGTTGGGCCAAAGAGTCTACATAACAAGAGGGTCCACTCCTCTCTTTGAGCCAATTGAAAAAGTGTCCTCAAAATTCGGTAGCACCCTCTTCACAAATGCGCACCCTTTGCGAACAGAGTTACCCTTCTTGTGTTAAAAAAATCAAAGTGAAACTAGCAAGTTTTTTAATAAATAAGAATTCAAATTTCGGAAGAACGCTTTTTAAAATGGTTTCGCTGACAAAAAACCTATTTCGGAGGAAGGGGTGACTGTTTTCTTCGTTTAATTTTACTTTAGAATGAAAGGCGAGAGGTCATTAAAATTTTAAAAAACTAAAACTCCGCACTGAACGAACCCGAGCAGCTGATGAACAGCAGTCGATCTGCGCGCGCAAGTAGGTGCTATTCCTATTCTTCTTCTGGAAAAACGAAAGAGAGCTTCAAAGCAGACTGCAGCGCCGTCAGAAGCAAAGAGCGGACTTCCTGCGGACACTTTTTTGGCTGAGTGGACCATTTTGTTATGTACTATCTTTGGTTGGGTTTTGGTTGATGGGTCAAGGGGTCAAGGGGTCATTAGGTTGGTTGATGGGTCAAGGGGTCATGAGGTTGGTTGATGAGTCAAGGGGTCTTGAGGTTGGTTGGGCTTGGGTTGTCAGGTCAAGGGGTCATGAGGTCAATTGGGCTCAGGCAAGTCATGGGGGTCAACTGGACTTGGGTTGGTAGGTCATGGTATCAAGGGGGTTTGGGTTATTGACCGGCTTGGGTGGACTCAACAGGTCCCAGAAGAGCGGTAGTTTGTGTGGGAGATAAAGTCTTGTATTTTCCCTTTCCCTCGTGCTGTGTTGCAGCTTGTAGTGTGCACATATCCATGGTGTGTGGGTGGTTGGCAGGCGCTTTGATGTGGTTTTCTCCTTCTTTCCTATCGAACATCCATCCTCCTTATTTTTATTATTTCCCTTCATTTTTTTTGTGTGTGTTACTCTATAGTAGCACCTCTAATTTTGGACTTTTATATGATTTAATTGTTTTGCAACTGCTGTAAAACTACCAAAACTTATACATCCCTGTGGTGTTTTACTTTGGATCTGAAATACTTTTTTTTTTGGGGGGGGGGGGGGGGGGGAGGGGGTTGTTTCTAAAATCTTTGCTGAAGTTGATCTGTGGGCCCATAGTAAAACTCAGGAGTCAGCATGCACAATAAAGACTGTAAAAGCACTAAAGGCTGACATGTTTTGTCTTTTCTTTTTGTGTGCTGTAATATGTTGATGCCACCAGTAAGAAGGTTTGTGAATAACACCATTGATGTGACTGAGAATGGATCCAAAGCGCTGATCTTGTGAGAATTTTGTTTGGCTCTCCTCAGACAAGCATTTGCTGCCATCTGGTTCTCGGCGGCCGTCAGATGACCTGTATGTGACTTCCCTGTGTGTGGCGGAAGAAGGGAAGTGGCGAGAGGAGGCGGGCCGCGCAGCCTCCCCTGTCAAGTCATCAGCACCGGTGGGTGAGGCTCAGCTGTCGGTGCTGTGTGGCGTGATGCTGAGACAGACCAAGGCACCTCAGTCGGGGCCACCACACGGCTCTGTGGAAGCTGGCGGGGGGAGTGGCAGTGCGGGGGGAGTGCTTGATGTGGCTGGGCCCGGGGAAGGGAATCTGACCGTCCAGCTGATGAATGAGGTCAACGAGGCGGTCAGCAGTGACGTGTCCACCGTTTCTTCACGCATCATCACTGACCAGTGTCAGAGTGGCCACAACGGCGGCAACAACAGTGGTGGTGACCTCGGTGGCCTTGGTGGCAACAGCAGCTCGGAGTTTGTGATGCCGGAGTCGCGTCTGGTTCCGTACGTGGTGGTCGTCTCGCTGGTGGATGATGATGATGATGATGCTGCTGCCACTACATCGACAACGCCCGGGCAGACCAGCCCGTCCAAGAAGAAGAAACCTCTCCCCATGGCTGCCACCACCTCCTCCTCTAACTCCTCATCCTCCTCGTCTTCATCTTCGTCCACCTCGTCGACAGTGAAAGCATCGTCGTCGATGAAGCCTGGGGTGGGGATGCTGCAGCCCGCCGTCTTTGCCAACAGCACGGACGACTGGCTGCTGCACCCCTGGGAGGACCCGGACTGTCAGATTATCGGCTTCTCCCCACCGCCCCCACCCTCGCACAAGTCGTCAGGGGAACCCTCGTATGGGGCCATGGAGACGGGTGAGGAGGGCTCCAGCTCTCAGCCTCCGTCTGTGGTCCAAGACTTAAGCAACAAGTCCGGTCTGGCCAACGGGCCCAGCACCCTCTGTGATATGGTGGACTCTCTGATGGCTGAGCCCATGCCTGAGCCCACCTCACCTCTCCACTCTTTCACTTTCTCAAGCCTCGTACCCGTGTCCTCCTCCTCCTCATCCTCCGCGAAACCCTTCTTCTTCGCCAATGCAGGCGAATCGGGCCACACCACTGCGACCTCCTCAGGTTCCAACTCAGGGGGCTGCCCCCAGAAAGAGGCTCCCAAAATTGGCGGAACAGTGGTCCAGTGTCTGGAGCTGCCTGGCCAGTTCCAGCAGGAGCATATAGAAGTGTGCTCCATCCTCCCCTCCTCCGACAAGCAGCATGTGATTGTGGTTCTTTCCACCAAAATAGGATACCTCGAGAGCTCTGCCTCCTCCTGTTCCTCCTCCCCCTCCTCCTCATCGCCAGCGGAGGAGGTCCCCCCAGTGACAAATACACCTCAGGCCGAGGAGAGTTCCTGCAGGGGCGGGGTGGTGGTGTATTCGGTGAAGTGCGAGAACGGTCATGTGGTGTTGGATGTAGAGCCTGTGGCTGTTCACACAGTGGTCTCCCCCCAGGATGTGATCACTGCCACCTTCTTGTTGCCCATGGAGGTGGAAGATCAGGTCTGTTTGTGTGTTTGTGTGCGTGTGGGTGTATGTGTGTGTGGGTGTGTGTTTATGTGCCTATGTGTGTGTGTATGAATATTTATGTATGTGTGTATACAGCATAACACGGATAGGTTGAACACAGAAGACTAGAAATCACACATCCGTCTAAATGTGTCTGTGGTCCTGTTTTTTTTTTCTTCTTTATCTTTGCAAGAAAATTACGCGAAGCTGGAACACGAAATATATAGACTAATTACGCCGCCGTAGAGGTCTAAAATCAATGTTCTTTAAGGTGCACCTGAGACAAAATAATATATATTTTTTTGAATGGAAAAAGGGAAGGTCTGTAAAAACCACCTTCCTCCCTTCACAGAAGCAGCTAGCTGTGCTATTTTTAGCGCAATGCTTGGCACGCATGCCCGAGGCACTTAGCCTAGTTAGGCTTGTGTGAAACGGGGGAGAGGAGGCGTTGTGCATCTCACCGTCTATTGTTTTACCCCTGAAGTAGCAGTCTTTGTCGCTTCTCTTGATTCTCTGACACAGCTGATGCCATAACGCTGTTCACATATCCCTTGAACTACGGATCCCTTGAACTACCGAGGCCGGTCCCGACGACTTACAGTTGTCCGTGTTATACTGTTTATGATTTTGTGTGTTTGTGTATGTATGTGCATGTTTTTGTGTGTTTGTGTATGTATGTGCATGTTTTTGTGTGTTTGTGTATGTATGTGCCTGTTTTTTAAATTTAATGTGTGTATATCATGGTCACTGGCTCTCGCAAGTACACTCAACTCCATTAAAAAGACCTCACTTAAGTAAATGTGTGTGTGTGTTAGTAGAGGTTTTACGGCACTCGCAACTGCATAAGGTCATATGAGCGCTAGAAGATTAGAGGTGTTACAAGAGAGTAACAAACAAAAAAAAGAAGAAGGGGAGATAAGGCAAGGAGGATAGATGTTTGACATGAAAGAAGAAGCAAACCACACCAGAGCACCCACCAACCACCCACATAAGTAAATGTGCTTGGAATGAAAACTATAGTGGGGATTACTACAGGTGTTTACACAGAGGTGCAAGAACTAACTTATTGCCCACAGATACTGAACAAAAATGTGGTGCAATCTGAGCTCCTATTCTTATGTCTTGCAATGTTCAGCTTCACCCTCCTTTCATATAAAAAGTTGAGTAATGAATCACCACCTAATACTGCAATGGTGGCAAGTATTCGATGCCTCGTAGATTAAGACGTGAAATGGTTCTTTGTGATGTTGTTCCATTCTGCCATCAGTGCATGACCAAGTTGCTGCATGTTGGGGACTTTGTTAGCTAGTGTATCCAGTGTTGTAGTTCGTCCCACAAGTGTTTAACTGGACTCGAGTCGGCTGAATAAGGAGGCCGTTGCATGAGTTTGAATCACTGCTGCTCTAGGTATGTTGTCCAGACACATGCAGCGTGAGGTCTGGCACTGTCCTGCTGAAACAGGAATGTTTGGGTTATTTCCAAAAAGCGTTGGCAGTACGGCGCCGATGGCTGCCCAAACTGTCACATAGCTGCCAAACAGTACGTAAGAAAAACCAGTACGTAAGAAATGTTTTCCTGTTTTTGAGGGTCTGAGTTCAGAAGTCCGTTTTCGGATTGGATAATGCATAGTCTCTGTTTTCTAGTATTGTTTTCTAGTATTGTTTTCTAGTATTGTTTTCTAGTATTGTTTTCTAGTATTGCTCATCACGAAATTTCCGGGAATGAGAACAAAGCCCATTATAAGTCAATTCGAGAGATCTCTTGCTGCAGGTCTTCCCATTATAAGTCAATTCGAGAGATCTCTTGCTGCAGGTCTTCCCATTATAAGTCAATTCGAGAGATCTCTTGCTGCAGGTCTTCCCAT